CTTCATATTCGTGCTCTTATTCTTAAACATATTCTTGTACTTATTCGTCTTCGTATTCGTATTCGTTACTGTATTCCTACTCTTATTACTATTCGTATTCGTATTCATATTTGCAGTCGTATTCGTATTCGTAGTCGTATTCGTTTCCCTATTCCTACTCCCATTACTATTTGCAGCCGTATTCGTATTCACATTCGTATTCGTATTCGCAGTGGTATTCGTTTCCTATTCCTACTCCTATTACTATTCGTAGTCGTATTCGTATTCGCAGTCGTATTCGTATTCGTTATGTTCCTAATTATAGTTTCACTATCCATTCTATTCCTAGTTATAGATGTGTTATTCGTTATGTTTCTAGTTGTAGTTCCGTTATTCGTTCTGTTCCTGATTATAGTTTCGTATTCGTTCTATTCCTAACTGTAGCTTCGTATTTGTTTTCGTATTCGTTATTAGTTATAATTGTAAATTAGTAGAAGTTATTCGTAGATTATGAAACATAGTTTAGATTAGAACATTCTGTGATTAGTTTGAAAGCTAAATTCGTAATTGGAACTATTTGATAAACACAGTTATTGATATTAGAACATACAAAATGAAAACGATTAAACTGAAAACAATAAGTTTGAGTACAAGATTTCCTTGTACTTTTGCTTGTATTCCCCCCTGAAAACAGTGAGAACAGTTGAAAAAGGGTAGGGGTATTAACTCACCGGACGAGAAATGTGGCGAATTCGGATGCTAAGAGTTGATCCGGGGCTTGTAAACACACGAGGTTCCTAAGTATAATGTAAAGATACACATTTGTATCTAATTAGAACTTAGGTTGGTTATTTGATAAGGACAACTGTTTCTAGTCGCGAAAACATCCCGATACAAGTGTTTAGATGGACCCGGGTGGCGTTGAAGAACGGGAATTGAAGCGAGGGACTTGGGACTTGAGTTTATTCCATATGAATAAACTTATACAAGAGTTTTTGGTCCAAAACACCCATTCCCCATGAGTTTACGGCCGTAAACTCATGGTGGGGTGGTTTATGGTGTAAATTTGGGTCATAAATGGATATGGACACTTGGAAATGCTTGGAATAATTTTACCTAAGGCTTGGATTGAATTAAAAACATCATTTGCAACACTTAAGGGAGTTTACGGCCTAGGCATGGGATCTTTGGCCGTAAACTCTCAAATCCCCTTGATTAAGTGTTTTTAAGGTCTTAAAATTAATCACATGTGATTCTAAAAATTCCCACAAGCCTAGAAATGAGTTTTGGGCACCAATTGACACCCTTTTATGAGTTTACGGCCATGAGACATGTTCTATGGCTGTAAACACTCAAATGTGGGGTTTTGAAGTGTTTAAGGTCCTTAAACTATTTTTGGTTGGTCCTATGATTTATTCCAAGGCTTTTGGTGGTGTTGGATGGCTTTCTAACACCTTAGAATTGACTTTATACCCATTTTTAAGGAGTTTATGGCCCAAGCATATGCCTTGGCCGTAAACTCACACAAACCCTTCAAAAATGATGTTTCAAGTGTCCAAATGCTAATACCAATATTCTATAATTCATATCTAAGCCTTGTTTGTGATTTGGAAGGGTTTAAGGGCATGAAAACCCTAGTTATATGAGTTTACGGCCCAAGCACATGCCTTGGCCATAAACTCCTTCAAACCTCACAAAATCCATGTTTTAAATGTTTAGAGTCCATATCTTGAAGTCATTTAGCCATATCTAGGTCCCAAAATTGTCAAGGAGGGGTTTAAGGGCTCAAAACCCCTCAATTTTGGTGTTCACGGCCTAGTCACCTTCCTGAGCCGTAAACTCATACTTTGTGTCCTATTTCATGATTAAGTCTCGAATTTGGAAGTCAAATAAGCTATACAATGAAGTTAGGAAGTTACCTTAAGGATTTGAGACCTTAAAATTGAGTTTTGGACCCTTAAACTTGGATTTTAGGAGAGAGGTTAGAGAGAGAGTAGAGAGAGAAGCAAAAAGCTTCAAATGAAAGGTTTAACACGTTTATATAGTTCCCAAAACTTGGACACGGTGGAATTCTACCCGATACCAGCATTAAACGGGGCTTTTGGTCGCACTCGATTAAGTTACCGTCACTCGGCGGGAATGTTTCTAACTTTTTGAAATAAACACTTTTGGGTTAATTTCATGAGTTCCAAAGGGATTTGGACACTCATTAAATTATAATAAACATATAAGTTTTAATTAGTTTAACCCAAAACGAGAACGAAACGAATTGGCTAACGGCGAAATTTCACGGGTAGAACAAGTTTTCGATGATAGAAAACTTCGGGTTGTTACATCTATGCAATTTAAGCAAATCTTTGATGAGTATTGTTTCATTCGTGAGTTCCACAATTGAAGTCTATACAACTTAAGCAAAGTTTTGATGAGCATTGTTTCATTCTTGAGTTCCACATAGAAGTCGATGAAATTGAGCAAAGCTTTGATAAGCACAGTTTAATTCTTGGGTACACAATAGAAGAAGTCTATGCAATTTAGCAAAGCTTTGATGAGCATCATTTAATTCTTGAGTTCCACAATAGAAGTTTATGCAATTTAAACAAAGCTTTGATGAGCATTGTTTGATTATTGTGTTCCACAATAGAAGTCCATGCAATTTAGCAATGCTTTGATGAGCATTATTTCGTTCTTGAGTTCTACAATAGAAGTCTATGCAACTTAGCAAAGCTGTGATGAGCATTGTTTAATACTTGAGTTCCACAATAGAAGTGTATGCAATTTAGCAAAGCTTTGATGAGCATCGTTTAGTTCTCGAGTTCCACAATCAAGTTTATGTAATTTAAACAAAGCTTTTATGAGCATTGTTTAATTCTTCAGTTCCACAATAGAAGTCTATGTAATTTAGCAAAGCTTTCATGAGCATTGATTCGTTCTGGGGTTCCACATTAGAAGTCTATGCAATTTAGCAAAGCATTGATGAGCATTGTTTAATTCTTGAGTTCCACAATAGAAGTAGTCTTTGAAATTTATCAAATCATTGATGAGCATTGTTTAATTATTGAGTTTCACAATAGAATTGTGTGCAATTTAAGCAAAGTTCTGATGAGCATTGTTTCATTCTTGATTTGCACATTAGAAGTCTATGCACTTTAGCAAAGCTTTGATGAGCATTTTTTAATTCTTGAGTTCCACAATAGAAGTAGTCTTTGCAATTTAGCAAAGCTTTGATGATCATTGTTTCATTCTTGAGTTCCACAATAGAAGTCTATGAAATTTAAGAAAACCTTTGATGTGCATTGTTTCATTCTTGAGTTCCACATTAGAAGTCTATGCAATTTAGCAAAGCTTTGATGAGCATTTTTTAATTCTTGAGTTCCACAATAGAAGTAGTCTTTGCAATTTAGCAAAGCTTTGATGATCATTGTTTCATTCTTGAGTTCCACAATAGAAGTCTATGCCATTTAAGCAAAGCTGTGACAACCCCAAATCTATTCCCATTACAAATCCCATTTTCACTAACGGAATGAGTCAACATACGTTATTTTATGTAATATTTGGAATCGTCAATATCCGAATATCTAATTATATTCATGTCTTAATATCATCATAAATAATATAACTCGTACGTGTTAACCCCGTTTAACCTATTAGAGTTGTATTTCTTTTTCAACCACTTCACCCGGGTAAAAAGTTTTAACCCAGTTAACTTTAAACATCGGGTAGCCGTGTATCGGGTGTGATACCCGAGACATATGAAATGGGTGTGCACAACATTTGAATACTCTTTTACCACACACCCACTTTCTCTCTCTACTTTCTCTCTCTAGACTCGAAATCGGCCCCAAATCCGCTAATTTCCGACTTCCAAACGTAAGTACTCATCCTCTATCTTAATCTAGTCATGCTTCATTGAATTTAGGGGCCAAAATCATAGAAATCAAGGACCATAAAGGAGTTTACGGCCTAAGAAGCTCCTTAGGCCATAAACCCCCAAAATCATGCCAAAGATCAAGTTTTTCCTTATTTTAAGCTAGTATACTAATTAAGGCATATATCTAGAAGAGTTTGGACACTAAAACACAAGGATTTGACATGTAAAAAGGAGTTTACGGCCCAAGCTTGTGCTTAGGCCGTTGATCCGTATATGGATAATGAAGGCCCAAAAGGTTATGGGTAGCTTAATATTGGGCTCGAAAGTTGTTTGGGCTTAATGGCCTATGGGGTGTGCATGGTGACGTGGTTGATGGATTAGGGTTTTCTTAAGTAAATTAATAAAAGTTTAATAAATTCAAGACTTCATTGATTGTTTGATTCAAAGTTTGGGTGGTTATGGAAGCATTTGGAAGGTTATCATTGATGGCCCTCTTTAAACTTTGGGAGTTACACTCTTATCATTGATGGCTCTCTTTAATCATTGGGAGTTACACTCTTTACATCTTCTCATAACCAATTACTAGCTATTGAAGAACAATTGAAGACATGGACGTTTTTTTTTTGTTATTCTTAAGTGTGGTAGATGTTTTTTTGTGTTATTTCAAGAGTTTCCTTAATTTTCATTTACTAGTTTTAATGAGTAGTTGGTTGGTTGGCTTGTAACCACCATGTTTGTAATAAAGGCTTCATATAAAGCCAAGTTTATGCATGGGAAAGTGAATAGATGAATTTTTAAGAAAAAAACCTTTGTTCAATTGGAATTATTGTTATAATTCACAAATTATCTTGTTAGGATGTGTTCTTGACTTGATACGAACTCAATCCAATAGGTCTTGGATTGTTTTCACCGGTATACAACTTAATAGGTCTTGAGTTGTTACTAATCTATCCATTTCTTTCCATTCACATATCATTTGTGGTTGTTATTCTCTCTTAATTTACCTAAACGCTACCTTACTCATCAAATCAAGCCCATACACGTATCATAAGTGGTATCAGAGCCTAGTTCCGATTGGGTGTAACTGAGTTCTTCTTCAAGAAAAATTCTTGCTATTTTTTTATTTAAGTTGTTCAGAAGTTATTGTCCAAAAATGTTGCGCAAATTATATGATGAAGAACAAATAAAGGAAGATAAATTTGAAGAAGAGGAGGAAGAAGATTCCGGTCCCATCTACGACACCGATGGAGAAGGGGAATTTTGTGAAAGAATAAATTTCTTGGATGAAGAGGAATTTATTGAAGAAATTGAAGAAGAAACTAATTTCGTGATCGGAGATGAATTTGTTGAAGCAATTGTGGAAGAAATCAATTTTATTGATATGGACAAAATTGTTGAAGAAATTGTGATTTTTGTTGAACAACAAATTTCATTCCAAGAGCTTACAACCACGAGAACAAATGACTGTAAGTGTCACAAAAATTCAGGTTCTCATATCTTTTATGAACATAATTTCTTTTCTAAAGATCTTAAAGAAATCCAAATTGGAAGCTTCATTGATCAAGAAGGTTTATTCGTTTTTCATCTTCATTTTCGTTTCAAAGTGTGGGAGATTTTTACACTTTGGAGGCCATGGAATGCTTATATTTTGCATTTTGAAGGCCTTGGTAAGAGGTTTGATTTTACTAATTATGATCTTGATAGTGATGTTTTTGTTTTGTCTTCATTAATTGATCAAAAGGAGAAAAAAGACATGCATATTACTTTTGATAAAAAGTTTTGTGCAATTAGAGATGTAGACTTTTCACTCAAGACTCAAAAACAGCAAGACCAATTATTTTTAGATGATGGCAGAATTTTGTATGCTCCAAAAGGCGATATGATGATTTCCAAAACAAGATGTGTTCATGGTAGTAGCAATCAGTCACGAAAAAAGACATTGTGTGACAATTCATATGCCAATTTTTTGTGTTGTCCACAAACAAAAGATATCTTAATTAATTCTTCATTCGTTGTTCAAAAACACCAAGAGCGAAGGCTTGAAGTTTGTGGTGAAAGAAAGATGAACGATGGTATCCATCTTTCTACAAACCATCTTTCTACGAGCAAAGAAGAAAGAATTAATCAATATGAAGATCTAAGTCCCAAGTATTTACATGGGAGGATGCTCATGAAGTTTGGACTCATATTCTTTTGGTGTGCCTTAAATTGGGAAACCATGATATTGAGGCGTGCTGCTCATCAACTTACAAATACAAACCATGACCCATTCTTTAAAATGACTACAATTAACCATTTAAATTATTGCAAGGTTAATTTGCAGGTTCAAGTTCATGGGAATGTACGGAAGTGGATTTTCATCCATAAATCGAAGATACGGTTAGGATTGAATTTGGTGAGTTATTTGAAGAAGAACATGTGTATGTGGAGAAAAGGCCAAGTTGGAGTAAAGAAAATGTCACATTATGCAATAAAAAATTGTTTTCAAGACTTGCTGTCAGGGAAGGTTCGTATGGGGGAACAACACAATTTGGTTCTTACTGAATTGAGGACAATTCCTTTCGAAGAAGGAGGGAATGATCCGTATATGGATAATGAAGGCCCAAAAGGTTATGGGTAGCTTAATATTGGGCTCGAAAGTTGTTTGGGCTTAATGGCCTATGGGGTGTGCATGGTGACGTGGTTGATGGATTAGGGTTTTCTTAAGTAAATTAATAAAAGTTTAATAAATTCAAGACTTCATTGATTGTTTGATTCAAAGTTTGGGTGGTTATGGAAGCATTTGGAAGGTTATCATTGATGGCCCTCTTTAAACTTTGGGAGTTACACTCTTATCATTGATGGCTCTCTTTAATCATTGGGAGTTACACTCTTTACATCTTCTCATAACCAATTACTAGCTATTGAAGAACAATTGAAGACATGGACGTTTTTTTTTTGTTATTCTTAAGTGTGGTAGATGTTTTTTTGTGTTATTTCAAGAGTTTCCTTAATTTTCATTTACTAGTTTTAATGAGTAGTTGGTTGGTTGGCTTGTAACCACCATGTTTGTAATAAAGGCTTCATATAAAGCCAAGTTTATGCATGGGAAAGTGAATAGATGAATTTTTAAGAAAAAAACCTTTGTTCAATTGGAATTATTGTTATAATTCACAAATTATCTTGTTAGGATGTGTTCTTGACTTGATACGAACTCAATCCAATAGGTCTTGGATTGTTTTCACCGGTATACAACTTAATAGGTCTTGAGTTGTTACTAATCTATCCATTTCTTTCCATTCACATATCATTTGTGGTTGTTATTCTCTCTTAATTTACCTAAACACTACCTTACTCATCAAATCAAGCCCATACACGTATCAGCCGTAAACACCTCAAACACCCCCATGAATCTATGTTTAAAGCCCCAAAAACTCTTCTAGGATGTTTGGAAAATTGGACTTGCCTCCAAGGAACACTTAAATGCATCAAACAACTCCATTTGAGGACAAATTGAGGAGTTTACGGCCTAGCTTAAGCTTGGGCCGTAAACACCCAAAAATTGGTGTCAAATAAGTCCCTAAACTACTCTAGTGCTTGTAAGGAATTTAGCTAAGGCCTTTGGAAGTGTGTTGTACCATTTAACTTCACATTTGGATACAAAATGAAGAGTTTACGGCCAAGGATGTTCTTGGGCCGTAAACTCCCCAGAAGTGCATGCCAAATTGTCCCAAAACTCACTATAGGGCCTTCTAGGATTTATCTAAGGTGTATGAGACCATGTTGTACCATTAAAACATACATCTTGAAGGATTTATTGGAGTTTACGGCCCAAGAACAAGTCTTGGCCGTAAACTCCCCAAAAATGTCACAAATTATGATGTTTAATCCCTCCCTACTAGTCCAAGACACATACCATTAAATTAAGGAAGTGAAATAAGGCCCTAATCATACATTTTGGAGTGTCACAAGAGTTTACGGCCAAGCCTAGGGGGCTTACGGCCGTAAACTCCTAAAGGATGGCCTTTGGGCCATAAACTCCAAGGGAGTGAGCTCATGGACCCTCCCGTAAATCATTCATGACCTTGTACCACTCCCAGGAACCCTTTCTAGGCCTTAAAACCCCGAAAACGATGCTAGAATGTCCAAATACTATAATGAAAAGCATAAGATGATTAACTTCTTGTAAAATACATATTTCATATGACATTAGGGTCCTAAGAGGTGCTCAAGTGGTTATTTGGTACCAAACGCTCAATCGACACTTTTACCCGATTTACCCGATTCACCCGATTTCCGCGATTTCAGGTGAGTTCATACCCCTTTAATGAACCTTTCAAATGTTTTATATGTTTTAAGGGGGAGATACAAGTTAAATATACATGTTTATGAAAAGTTATACAAGACAATTTTTCATATTACAGATTTAATCACATGTGATTCACAACCTATAGTTCAAATCACATGTGATTTATCACTATGCTTTATGAATAAACCAATTGTTTTCAAAACTATCTTGGATAAACAAACAAGCTTAAATGTTTCTTTTGTACAACACTTTTGTTTAATAAAACTCCTTACAAAAATGTAACGGGGTTTCATAAAACCGAAGTAGGTTTTAGGTTGATAAAAGAAATTTACTTTCCATAACATTTTAAACTCACAACATTTTTACTAAGAAACGATGATTTCTCATACACTAGTCTTTGGTTATAAGGCTACATTTCTCGGATTTCAAGGGAAATATCGGATTTTTCTGAAACAAACGCGACATTTACATGTGAAATACTTCTACTAAGTTTATTAATAAAAGCTTATGAACTCACCAACCTTTGTGTTGACACTTTTCAAACAACTTGTATTCACAGGAAAACACTAATCAGGTTATCAAGTGCTTTTGAGGATGGGACGTTAAGGCGTCAAACTTTTCACATTTTGACAACATATTGTAATTGATTTTGAAACATGTAATTCATACAAGTGATGTAACTTTTTCAATTATATATATGTTGGTTGTGTTTGCTTAAATTACTATTAAAATTGTGGTTATGATGCTATACATGAAGTCCTCCACCCCGGACGTTTCCGCCATCCTTGGTTTGGGGGTGTGACAGATTGGTATCAGAGCACGGTTTATAGTGAATTAAGTATGTCAACCACATAAGATATACAAACTATAAACACATTTGGGACTAAAAGTCTCTGATTCTTAAAGTGATTTAAAGAGTTGTACTTTTAGAAAACAAATAATTTCTTGTTTTAAAGTATACTTGCATGCATTCTATACTAGCATGGTGTCATAACTTAGGAGAACATAAATTGAAAGAGGAGGAGTCGAACATTATTAATATGCCTTAGCATGTGTAATCAGTTCTGGGAAGGATATAGCCTGATCAACTATATCCGTCCAAGAAGTAACTTACGCACACTAAGGAATAGTCGTAATGAGCGACAAATCTGAAAACCTAATAACACTCCATAAAGAACACGCTAAGAACCAAATATAAACATTTAAAAATACTATAGGAGTATTTGTACGTTTCTATAGTGCCAAATTATTATTTTCCGATACGTACTTCTTAAACCCGTCTCTCGTGCAGACGACATGGCAGGATTTCACATACCCGGGGACCCCTACTTTCCCAATCAGGGAAACGCGGGATGGATCGAAGACGAGCCCGAGGAGAATCCCGAAGAGGAACCCGAGGAGGATCCCGAAGAGGATCCCGAGGAGGAGCCCGAGGAGGAAGACAAACAAGAAGAAGAAGAGGAAGAAGAGGAAGACGACCAAGAAGAAGAGGAAGAAGAGGAAGAAGAGGAAGGTGATGAGGTAGTCATGGTTGGGAACGAAGCGGAGGAACCACCAGAAGTATTCAACCCTCCCTACATCGCGAGGGTACCCGCGCACCGTTTTGGTTACAACGGACCTGAACCCCCTTGGGTAACAACGATCGAAAGATGGAGCCGACAACAACGCCAACGGTCACCATATGGCTACCAACGAGGTTACTATGATCTCACTCATGGTGGACCGGCTGACAGGGCTCTCCCCGTCACGATACAACGAATAGCAAGAATGGATGATCGTGGTAGGACAACGACAGATCAGGTCCGGGAGTTAAGTGCCATTGTACAGTCTACTACGGATCGCACCAGAAACCTGGAACGAGACTCCCACCACCGAGACCAACTCATTCAAGACCTTCTCGCAGCTCAAGCAGAAACAAGAGAGTATCGGGAAAGATACATGGCACTTGAAGAGAGAATGGTTGCAGCCGAACGCAAATTGGCGGAACTACAGGGTGCATCGACATCATCGCAGCCTCCGTCAAAGAAGGGTCGCAGTGATTAGAACTCGTTGCTATTCACCCGTCTTGGTAGTAGAATTTTATGAGTACGCGTTGGTGCTACTCCTTGTATGTAGGTCGACCCTGCGACTATGTGATTACACTATTCAAAGGGCTTTTGTAATGCCAAAAACTACCTTTTGTAACGATGTAATGTAGACCCTTATGAGGTCAAACTTTTCCCTCTAAACGTTATGTACTAAAATTTATCAATGAAATTTGGCATGTGTTTTATTTATTGAATGTTTGGCACTATACATCATAACCTGATCACACAAACAGTTTACGAATAATAAAGTTATGATAAAAATACAAGAGGGATGAAACCAGTAACACTCGACTCGTTATCACTATTGAAGTCTTACCGACTAGTCATTTTTTTTATGACAGAACCATGCCACCAAGGAAAAGACCAAGGCCTTCCAGCAACCCAGTGCCGCCACCACCAGCACCTCCGCAGTTTGATCCTGCAATGTTCCAGGCTGCAGTAACGGCAGCCGTGGCGGCAGCAATGTCGCAAATGGGAACCCATGGTTCCGGCGGTTCTGGATCCGGAGCTACCAATTCCATTCATGGGGACAGTACTGGGCGTACGAGGGAGTGCTCTTACAAAGACTTCACGAATGGCAAACCCGATCCTTTCAATGGAAGCGGGGGCGTTATCACACTGGTTCAATGGTTTGAAAGGACCGAGGCAGTTTTTGAAATCTGCGCTTGTCCCAAAGCGAGCAAGGTCAAGTTTGCGGCATTTACTTTCACTGGAAAAGCACTTACTTGGTGGAATGGCCGAGTTAAGTCACTTACTCCTGCAGTAGCTAACGCGATCAGCTGGGAGGATTTGAAAGCTCTAATGTTAAAGGAATACTGCCCGAGGGGCGAAATACAAAACTTGAAGAAGAACTTTGGAACCTCAGGATGACAGGCACTGATCTTGAAACTTATACTGCCCGTTTCAACGACCTAGCACTCCTCTGTCCAACAATGGTCACTCCAGAAGAGAAAAGGTGGAACGATATCTCTGGGGCCTATCATCCCAGATTCAAGATAGTGTCTTGGCCTCGAAACCCACTACCTTTGAGAGTGCCAAGGAATTGGCACAACAACTCATAGATCACAGGGCTAGCCGTGGTACCGTGATAACCACCACCGACCGAACGAAAGGAGGGAACAACAAGAGGAAGTTCTGGGGCAATAAAAGGAAACAACCAATTCAGGACCCCGCCAAAAAGCAACCGATTGTTGCTGTTCGCGCCGCCACTACTGCTGTCGCTCCAGCGCCACCGAAACAGTATAC